ATCTATGCAGAAATTCAAATTTTTGTTGGATTTACACTTCGCTAACATACGTTTCAGAGAACGGTTGCCACTTGACAACGATATCGTCCACTTGTGACTCACTGTGTGAACAAGCATTTTGTGTGCTACAGAAGGAGTTGCTGAACCATCTCAGGATAACCACCTGACGTGTTTATTTATTTATTTTAAATGTTTTTGATTATCACCCGATGGAGTTGTACAGAATTATTTTCTACTTGCTCCAAAATACAGTATTCAGTGTTCATTATTCAACTCCTCAGAGCTCTGTCCCTAGGTCGATGGGTAAAGTCAGTCTCGCTAACCGCCAAACGGCATCTGAGCCACCTACTCCGACACTTACTAGCCCTATAAGTGAGCAAGTCACCTTTGGCGTGAGTGCTTTTAACTCATCCCTAGTTGCCACATCTGACGAGTCAGTTACAATACCGGCAGCCCTGAGCCGATCAACATACCCATCGGTCACCAGAGGTGACACCCTTATGTACATTTTCTGTACCAAGCACGAGTGATACGACGTATTTTTCATGGCATTCAGTAGTGCCGGCTAAACAAACCAATTTGTCAGTCATAACTCTCAATTTGACATCCGCTAGACAGAAACACAATGCGTTAACTCGTGTGCGCTAACGTTCCGTAGTCCAAATCTGACACAATAAAGGGCAAGTTGCTAGGCGTTCGCAACCAGTGGATTTCCATCTGCAAAACGGTGGGTACTCGGGTTGAGTCCACTATGTTGAGACGCGTAGTGTATCGCTCAACTCCAGTGCACTGGGACGAACCTCGATTTCTTGAACTCAACAGAGGTGACAGACTGTCCTACTCTCAGCAGTTGATCTTCACAACTCATCGAGCGGGGTAAGCATGCTACCAGATATTTTTGGAAATGGTAATCGACTGAAAAGAACAACCATGGCGGCCTTTCTTCATATCTGCCGTTGCTTTTTTCACCGAAGATCATTTTTACATTATCTACTCTAGATATCTTTCTGCTGAAAATAGCTGGAAGATATTTCCTTAAATTTACGTCCAAGGTCACTGCGACCAATCCACACCTCGATTACTAGAGCTGAGATATCGCGCATAATCCCCGCTATATCATCTTTGGACACAATTTTACGGCAACTGTAACGAGTTATGAACAACAGTTTTAATGGAACTTTACCCTTTTGATAGGACGCAGCTCCCGAAGCTATGGTGAATCGTTATGTGATCGTTTGCTTGATTGAGATATGACTGCACCATTCTCACTTTCTCCCCACTTGTAAATCTTAACACTTTTGATGGTGCACGTTTAGTAAATTTGCAGTGTAAAATGCTGAAAATCCACCCATTTGTGTTCGTAAAGTTTATGCTGACTTGACTTATGTTCCTGAAATACCGGATTCTCCTGATCACAAAGTGTAATCTCATGACCGTAAGCAGTGGTGCTACATCTGCGAAGCACTCTCTCTGGACAATGTTATCGCTAAATCACTAACGCGAATAGCTTCATCACCAAACTAGAAGGGCTGTGCTACACTCCGAAGGAATGACAGTAGTCCTGTTGGTTAGCTGGTTTAAGCATCGCTCCAGGTTGCCTAAAGATACCAGACGCACGACCAATAGTTATCAGCACTTCACTGGAACATGCAACAATAAAATATTTGCCGCCACAATCCTACAGGTTTGTAGACAACATAGCATTTCGCGATACCTGACGGGACAGTGTGACACAAAAGAGAACATCTCGATCTTAAATGCTCTTTACTACCATGCAGCCTGACCAAAATACAAGAACCAACGCCCCAAGCAAAAACGATTAGCGGCCGACCGACGAACGTTCGATTCATAAGGAAACACGGATTTGAATTCCACCAACACACCAACATCCAGCACACTATCCTGTTTGTATACTTAACACCCAAGGCCTTCGTGGTAAGTTGACCGAACTTAGACAACACCAGGCGTCAACCGCGAGATCTCATTATGATTGCTGAGACGTGCTTAAACCACTCGATAGCTGATTCCGAGATCACTGTTATGTCGTTGTTCCGGATTGATAGAACTTGAAGGGGTGGTGATGTACTTCTGTATTACTAGGCTAACCACTGATGTGAATCAAACGATCACCCAGAGATTCGTGCCCCGAATTCATTTTGGTGCCGGCTATCGCTGCGGAACAATGACATGTCTTATAGCCTTTATTTACCGTTTATCAAACTCTACTTCGGAAATGGACTCCAAATTGAACCACGTTCTTCAACTTGCTTTACTCAAGTCATACGGTCACATTCTTATTGCAGGTGACTTTAATGTGCATGATCTGGAAATAGCGGCAACCGATTGCATGCAGCTCAAAGCTTGCTTGCGATAGCTTATTTGCAGCTACTCCTTTGCAATCAGGTAACATCTCCCACCAGATTACGAACCGCCAACAGACCGTCGATACTTTCTCTTGTGCTTACCAACGACGGATTTGTTACAAGCACCCCATGTGACCATGTTAGTATATTGTCTGACTATGTATGTTGTGCCGAAGATCCTAAAGAAGTAGATGATAAAGTGTTATGCACTACAAAGTGTTATCCGCGCTTGTCAAGGAGACATCTTGGTCCCTTTTTAACTGAATACCCTCCAGAAATCGCCTGGGAAACGTTTACAAGGACATTTAGCACACTGGTAGCGCACGCGTCGGAACAGAAATCCTTCCAGTGTCAAAGCGGAAACAAGTCGTTTCTGGGGAAGCGGGCACAAAAATGCATGTCCTTGAGGGACTTAGCGTGGGGAGCTCACAAGGACTACCCGAATCCCGACACAAGGACTGCATACGTGGCGCATTCTAACTTTTGCCTAAAGTTGATCTTTGAGGACATGGTGACGCAACAGCAGGATTTAATGAAGCGATTCTGCTCAAATCGTAAACTGTTAAACAGGCATGTTAATGGCCTTCATAAGGTGCGACGCGGGATTCTAGCATTGGTCACAACTACTCGGTGAACGCGATCAGCCAGGGAAGCAGCCGATCTCTTCAGATTCCATTACTCCCATATGTTCCATTGAGTAACAAGCCCAACGATTATCACTGTTTCTATTGTCTCACCGTCAGCCTTATCCAACCTCTTACTGCAGCTGCTGTGTTAAAGAAACTGTTGTCCCTGCGCATCCACAGTTTTCCTGCTGTCGATAACATTCCACCGAAGGCTATACAGGATGCAGCCAGTGATCTGGCGGAACCTCTGGCTATATTCTATGAACGCTGTGTAGATGAGAGCCAAATTCTGGTAATATGGAAGCGAAAGGTCATCAATAATATTCATAAATGAGGTAGTCACACTGACTCAACCAATTACCGTCCGGTAACTCTGTTTCTTGTGCTTTCCATTTATGTAGTCTATCATCGCTAAAGCAGCACCTGGAAAACCACGGCATTAAATCACAGGAGCAACATGGCTTTCGACAAAACCGCTCTTGCACTACGAACTTGTTAATTGCACATACTAGCTGGACTGGAGCAGTTGATGATGGATCTGGAGTCTATGACATCTACCTGGACTTCTCAAAGGTGTTTGCTCGCTTAGACCATCGAATTCTCCTTCAAAAGCTTCAGAACTACGGCATTGTTGATCCACTGCTGCGTTTGATAGGCAATTTCCTGCACGAATGTCTCTTGAAGGTGTGAGTACGAGAATCCTTATCCGACACAATTGAGTTGGAGTGGGGTGTACCCCAAGGTTCGGTTCTAGAACCTCGTCTATTCTTGGTTTTCGTAGACGATTTAACGAAATCAATTAGTGCAGATATCCTATTCTTCGCTGATATTACCAAGATGTGGCGAGTGATCAAGGAACCGGACGACCACGAAGTTCTTTAGCGAGATTTCGAACTGGTTATTTCAAGATGCGCTACCATTCCATGTAGAAAAAGGTCGTGTTGTTGAAATACGCCGTTGGCATGCCCTTGGTGTGTTCATTCAAAGTGACCTTAACTGTTCGAAACATTTTGAAGCACCTGCGAAAAGTGGCAACCAGCATGTTGGCCTGCTACGGAGTGCATTCGGGAGTTTTGACTCATCCATCCATCCGATGATGCGCAACTCTTACCTGCTTCCTCACGTTGAATACGCCATCCATGCTTGGCAGCCTTGGCTGAACCGCGACCTGGAGGTCCTTGAGAAACCACAACACAGGGCCACAAAAACGTCAAGTGTCTACGAAATCTGTCCTACCCGCAAAAGCGGAAGTCACTTAGAGCTTTCAGTGGCCGCTACCGAAGTTTACGTGGTGGTCTCGTACTAGTTTACGGAATAAATTCTGTCGCCCTAATCACGTATGCCGTCACTCGCTGGAACAGCCATAGCACCAATCTCAGAGGTAATTGTCTGTAACTGAGTAAACATTGGCCGTCTGGAACGCCGACGGAATTATTTTTCCCTTCGGATTTGCAAACGCAGAAACTCACAAACACAATTGTTTCTTCCCCCGTCCTGGATATTTTCAATAAAACGGTTAGATTTTGCCCTTGGCTTACATCACTTTGTTGTATAAACTGTGCTACGTTGTACTATATTAATTATGTCTTCGAGCCGGATGTATAAGTCACGTTACTCCAAGGAGGCCCTCCATGAGTGGGTATGCTTGTTTTTGGTTTTCTCACTGAGTACATTATCCATAACTGCCCCCCTGTGATCTAGTTGTTTGCATTCAATTCTCATTTACACTACTATTATTCAGCGACGCATTTGCCTGATAGACGCTCAAACACAGGAATCATATATCTTTTGATATTGAAGTTTTACTCCAACCATCCTACGGGACTTGTCAAGCAACTTCTTTTTTTATCCATGATAAATCATTGTTCATTTGACACCCAACTTGACTATCATTAATGCAAACACTGTTTGTGTGTGTGTGTTACTGTCTCTGTCAACAAATGATAGCTTTTCATATTGTTGCTCATTTGCTTCCATGTGCACATTCCGAGATAATTTTTTCGTTTTCTAGGGCTTATATTCTGTCGCAAGTTACGCATGTTAAAGACTCGTCTAAGTGGCGTGGTATTCCGTGACCTTATCACCATCGATCGACCTACCCATGCACCTACTGGCCTGAGTGCGGCGTTATGGGACCAGATAACATCTGGAATGGCCTTTGTGAGTTCTCTGACATTTCTTGAATACACAGGCGCATGTAACTTATCGCATTTGTATGAAGTCAGTTTAAACCCTTTTTGCGGATATCTTTGGTGCATCCTTGTGTGCCATGATTTTGTGTTGTATGTTGTACATTTGGTGGCATTGTTGTCATTTTCGCCGCATTCTCCATCTCTACCAAGGATTACAGCAGTTCACATCCGATGGTTTTATAAATATAGTGAGCCTTTCCACTTTTGACCGCTAAATCATGCAGCGGAATGCGATGAGTCCTTTGTTGAATTTTGTCATCCTGCTGCATAACCGCTGTTGTTTCATTTGGGTTTTGGTGACGCAACATTTGCGGTTGTCAACTCATGTCAACTAAATACATAGTGGAATGGTTATTTCACATCACTCTGATCCATTTTCTCATATCAGCATGTCCCTGGACAGTGTATCGGAGAAATCCCGATCTTTCCCGAATCATGTCATTGGGCCGAGTGAATGTCTGTGGGGCTGTTTTCTGGGTCCCCATGACAGCTCTGCTGCTTCTTAATCTCATCCTTTTCCACCACAATCGAAATGTTCACTAACTGTTCTATCCTCTGAACCTCAATCGGAGTTGAACTTTTACCGAACGACCGGTTAAAGCCTTAGATCACAAGAACGACATAGTTATTCTTGAGTCAAACCCAGCTGCTACTCAGGCACTATTGAAAAGACTCACGCGCTGACGACACTAAGAAACTGATCGTTTTGCATCGTGGTGGTTATGCGCAGTATTCCTCATAGCTGTTGTGAGTGCCATGTGAGCAGTGCAAGGGTTAGCCTGTTGCAATTTTGCGACGGGATTCCTGGCTCCTCTCTTAAATGTTTCTGTATCTTGAGCCACTCTATCGCGTCCTTCGCTGACCGATTCGTCAATTCTCTCGGTGTGCATTGTCCATCACTTGTAACCGGTTGCACGGAGCCTTGTAAGTACCAGCCCGTGATGTTACCAAAAGACACGGAGAAAGCAGCTGACGGTTTTCCAGGATGGTTGGATGGGGTCACTGGGTCGCGCATACCATTGGCTGGTGCCATTCCTCATTACTGCGCATTCATGTGTTCAGCAGCACCCCCGCCTCTTGCATTCAGTTGGTAACCCTCCACTCCGCTGAATTTCGAGTTCCGGTTTTTGTACACCGGTTCGTCACATTGTTCCCTTCCTTTTACCATAGTCTCCTCGCAACTGTAACTTTTTCTCGTCATCATGAGATGAGTTATGGTGACTGGAGCCATGGTGCGTCGATACACGCCTAAACGTCTAACTGACCTGCAGTTTTCCCTGTCCCACCAACTCTTTACAATTAGGCATGCTGATGAGTGGCCCATCGAAATATTTCACTTTTTCAAGCGGCAGTACCGTAACCGTACAAATTTTTTTACAGCTTGTTCCGAAACTTATTTGTGGTCTACACTTCTGGGCTCGATGCTGGCCTCTTCAAATTAAGAACGCCAGCGTGCCGAAGTACAGCAAGTCCTGTTTACCGAAAGTGTCTGATAAATCTTGCAATCCATCTTTTATGTATGCCTGCGAAACTAGCGGCCCGGGCTGTTTTCTCTGTACTGAGCGCATGAACCATCCGACCTGCTGGTACCGATAGCCTCCACCAAGTCCTCTCCATCTATACTGATAGGGACGACGGAGGTTTTTGACGTGTTACTTCTCTGTAATCGTCCTATTAAGTCGCATTCTGCTTCACTTCGGTTTATAGGACGAACTAAATCAACATTGAGTTCAAAAATTTAGCTGGATGCTACTCGTCTTCCTCCTGTCTCCGAGAGCTACCTCTTCGTACGAATCTATCTCCTAAGCCATTCATCCTGCAGTTCATCGTTCATTCTCATTGGTAGCAGCCCAAATTTATGGTGTCCTCAATTCGATCTGTCTGTCTCACAGCTCGTCTTCACATTCAGTTCGACATGACATCTGAGTGACAATTCATGACAAATGAATTTTCCTTACCTTTAGCTGCAAATCCGTCTACTTTTTGACCTCAGTGCAATGCGCGTAGCTGCACCACCATATCACTTGGCCCTACTCAATCCAAGACTTGCATCACCAGTGGGCTAACCTACACTCGAGGCTCGTTTCCTAATGACTGCTCTCTCATTGATGTAGACAACGTGCCCTCAAACTCCATAACCTTGATCTTTCAGGATTTCACATTCCGGGAGGTCTGTCGTCATGTGTATTTTGGAAACTGCGATCCATCGATTCGTCCAAAGGTCAGTGTGCCCTACATTCTACACACTTTCAGACGAATTGTGGAAGAGCGCACCGCTAGTCTCCTACACTCCGCACAATTTACATACTTTTCACAATTGCTCACCTTTTGCCGTTCGCGCTCCTTTGCCGACAATTCACCTTTCTATTTCCTTCCGCGGTCAACGCTATAAAGACAATATTGCAATCTTTCGCAGTCATAAATTTTCAGGTTTAAGTGTTCCTCGAAAGCGATCTTTCAAGCAGTATATTCTCTGCAACTGACACTAGGACATACCTACTATCAGTGATAGATCACCCACATTTTTCCATGTATGCCTTCTTTTAGACCTTAGATCTTGCTTCGTTGGGTTCCATGGATTGTTCCTTGGTCCGAAAATGTCGATCACTCAGGTCCACTAATTTTTATCATAAGCACGGATACCTCTCCTTATGGTTATCTTGTAGGTGTGGCCTTATCTGTTAGGAGTATATCCATGGAAAGCCAGTCCTGAAGAATTGGAAAAACTCAATTTTGTGAATAAATCAAGGTATTTTCATGCCAGAAGCCAGTGGCAATCGTGTCCAGATTCAGCTACCAACCCTCACAAGCAGTGGGAAGTGAACGATTTCCGGAACAACCACAAGGTGAGTGCTGGTTAGAACAACGTCTGTCGATAATGACCTATGGCATCAATGCGTTAGACTGCCGGACCGTGTGACGCGGTTTACTCTATTATTTGGAGTCTTCCAGTTCGATGGACTATTTTATATTTTCGAATTTCAGCTCAAAAACCCCTCACTTCTTGACATCAGCCGCGGTGCGCATTCACGCAGATGGAGTGCTGATGTACATCCTGACGAAATTAACACCGCAAGATTGAGGAACAAGTCCACCGAAGTCAGTAAGTGTTTTTCTGTTCGACACTCGTAACTAAACTAGCTTAACACTGCTGCTCATTTCGGATTTGGTGGATTTTAACGATCGAAGGCAGTGCGATACCATTGCGTGCAGTCTCCATTCCAAGACCGATTGAAAAGTGTGCACATCGAAATAGGTGATTGGACGATAGTACGTGGATTCCTGAACTTTCTAACGCGGACCCGCCTACTTACGCTGCGGTTCATATGCAGGAAGTGTCATCACCTTCTTGTTTTGCCACTATCCGCACCTCGATCGTCGACGAGTTGACTCCTTTGCATAGGAGTTTCAGGCCATTGTACTTCACAGTTGCCGTTTCTTTCATCATTCTGACATACGTCCGGTTTCCTTAACTGATTGGTTCTTTGGGACGGAGTAGTGAAAGCCAGCATTCTGTTCTGAAAAGTAGTTCATTGCTCGTATGTTCGCACTTCGTCAAACACAACGTTTGCGTATGAAGATGATCTGCTATGGTTACCATCCTATACATGATCAAACTGACAGCACCCGCTTGTGTTGCACTCTAACTGAAACGCATGGCGTCGATATTTCCTGGAAATGCGACTCCTAGAGTCGTGCGAAAGCTCATTAAAAATTGTTCCCTGGGCTTGATAACAGTGAGATTCACTAGGTATCCTTTGTATCTCTCTCTTCTATCTGGTGTTGGAACCGTTTATGAATGATGAGGTCCTGCGCTGAACGTAGCGCACTGCACACCACTGCATATATAAGTTGTATATTTCTCCATTATGCATGACAGTCTAACTAAGTGATCAGCATTGCAAACGAGAAGCATTTGTTTAAGTTTTCCAAAGCAGTTCTCAGATAAGTTTTCGGGGTGCTCGATCAGTTAAAAATGTTAGAAACATGGAGAGCTTGAGAGTGGAATGAAAGCGGTTTCTGCAAAATGTTTTAACGAAGTTCATACGGCTATCCGTGTAACGTGAATCTGGTCTGTATGTGTCAATGAGTATTGGGCGATGCATGCATCCTTGATAAACTTCTTTTCCCGGGAGGGCAAATGAGCTTGTCACTTTATCTCACAGTGTGACTTCTTTGTTCTATCTATGCCTTATGCGTTTTTTTCTTTGTGCTCAACATCGTCTATTATACCACGACGCAGCCTTTGTTGGAAATATTTTCAATGAGGTTAACTGTATATTCACTTCATTTTCTCATTGTGCATGCTTACTGGTTTCCAAAAGCGTTCAATGACACTAACTAATAACTCACCTTGGGATGGAACAACATGGCAGTATGGTGTACGACACAGTGTGTCATCGATTGCAAACGGCCAAAGGAAACAGCAAGATATCTCCTCAACTACAGCTTCATTCGGCAGTCGATCCTTCTCAGGACATTTTCAAGCAGAGGAAAACTTTTCGGTAAGAATTCTTCCCATTTGTTTTGAATTTCTGACTGACCAAATGTTTGCCGGTAACTACGGCAGTTGGTGGATTCGATCGCTTGTTCCAATAGAATCGGCGGCCAACATGTTGCGGGTGCTTCTCTCCCAACTTGGGTTCGAACTCCACAATTGGGTCAAAGGGAATGCGCATTGTTGACGATTCCCGAATGCATGAAACATCCCTACAGGCTGTGTGATGGCTGTCTGACTGGGTCTAATTGTGAAGCATTTCCACATATACCAACCAACTTTCCATGATACTACGTTGTCATCATCTTTGTTTCCTGTCTTATGCGGTCATGCAAGGCACTCGCTGTTTATGTAGTCATTTATTTTTCTTATGACTGCTCTTTTCCTTTGTGAATGTCAACGAGACTCACAGTCTGTGCATCCTTACTAAAGTTAGTTAGAACACACATTGGGCAGTT